TGCATGCACAAAGACACAGCTGATTCAAACAGATCAGCACCAAACAGTACAGTTGCATCGAAGCACAACATTTATTGATGACTGACAGATAGGATTTGTGAGTGATCTAATTGTGCTTTTTAACAATTGCATGCTGAGCACGGCAGTTATGCAGCGAGGATGGGGAGTTCGTAGCGCTCGATCGGGCTGTGTGAGACGTGCTCATGCGCAAAAAGCCAATTGTGCTGTACTGCATGATTAATAAGGAATACAGTGAAACAGCCTTCCCAACACCCACAAACAGTGACAAAGTTATTGAACTAATGCTCCAAAAGTCAGGTCTTTGTTCACAGTCAATGAATAAGATATGAGCCAAACCAGTGGCTGTTCAAGCATTCGTAGTCTTTGGAAGTCCCACCCCCTAAGAACGTCAGAAGAACCCTGCTAGATCAGAGACCAGTGGTCCATCTGGTCCAGCATCCTGTCTCACACAGTGGCCAACCAGTTTCTCTAGAGGGTCAACAACAGGATATACAGGCTGAGGCTTTAGTAAGAACATTAGGAGAGCCCTGCTGGATCAGATCAGTGGTCCATCTAGTCCAGCATCCTGTCTCACACAGTGGCCAACCAGCTCCTCTGGAGGGCCAACAACAAGGCATAGAGGCTGAGGCCTTCATAAGAATATCAGAAGAACCCTGCTGGATCAGACCAGTGGTCCATCTAGTCCAGCATCCTGTCTCACACAGTGGCCAACCAGTTCCTCTGGAGGGCCCAACAGCAGGGCATAAAGGCTGAGGCGTTCCCCTGATATTGCCTCCTTGCTCTTGGATTCAGGGGATTAGTGCGTCTGAATGTGGAGGTTCCCCTCAGTCACCATGGCTAGCACCCACTGATAGACTTATCCTCCATGAATCTATCTAACCCCCTTTTAAAGCTGTTTCTTCCTGAGGCCATCACTACATCCTCTGGCAGCAAATTCCACATTTTGATCACTCTCCGTGTAAAGTAGTATTTCCTGTTGTCCCTCCTGAACCTACTGCCCATAAATTTCATTGGATGCCTTCAAGTTCTAATATTTGGGGAGAGGGAGAAAAAGTTCTCTTTGTCAACTCTCTCTCCACCCCATAATCATTTTATAAATCTCTCTCATGCCCCCCCTCCTTTCTTTTCCAAACTGAATCTTCCCAGACTTGAGTCTTTAGCCTTTCCTCATAGGGAAGGTGTTCCTAGAATCATATTTAGCCTCCTCACTGCATGCCTCTAGTTTAAATGGGGGGGGAAGCCTTTGTTAATTGAGTTCTTGCCCTGATTTAAGCGCTACGCTAAATAATATTTTACTGTTCTGAATGCATTTTGAATATTTAAATTTTTACTTACGAGCTGCCTTGAGAACTTTTGCATAAAATGGCATATAAATGACCTAAATAAATAAACCGCAGTCAAGGCGTAGGGCTGCATTTTATTTGCATAATAAACTGGCCCCGTATTTATTCACTTAGGGAAATTTTATGCAAGCTTCTCCAGGGACCACCTAAGGCAGCTTACCAAATAAAACATAATAAAAGCATAAAACATTCGAAGCTGTTAATTAAAACACATCATTTAAAGAAACCCAGGCAGGGCATGGAAGCGTATATCAGCGAGCCAGTGAAAATGAATAACAGATTTCAAACTAAAAGTGCGCGATAAAGGAGTTGTTAAAAGATCAGTCCCTTAATTAAAAGCTTGGATAAATAGAAACGTTTGGGCTTGATGCCTAAAAGAGGACAACGTTTGGGCCAGGCTAGCCTCACGGGAAAGGGCATTCCTTCGGTGAGGTGCCACCACTGAAAAAACCCTGTTTGCCACCTACCTCATTTCACCTTCAGGCAGTGGCACAAGAATAGAAGGAGAAGAGAAGAGATTGGATTCCTACCCCGCCCTTCACTACCCAAAGGTGTCTCAGAGTGGCTGACAAACTCCTTTCCCTTCCCCTCCCCACAACAGACACCCTGTCAGGTAGGTGGGGCTGAGAGAGCTCTGACAGAAACAGCTCTTTTTCAAGAACAGCTCTTATCAGAACTACGGCTTGCCCAAGGTCATCCAGCCAGGTGCAAGTGGAGGAGTGGGGGAATCAAACCCGGTTCGCCCAGATTAGAGTCCGCGCACTTAACCACTGCACCAAACTGGCACCAAATAGGGCTTGTGAGGCAGATTTTTTAAATTAGTTTATATACAGAAAGGGGGAAAGGGGAAAGAAGGAAAAAGAAAGAAATACAGAAATATTTTAAAAATTCCAGCTTAGCATTCTGCATGCATATCTTCTTGTTACAATTGAACAACTACTTCATCGATCGTGAGGCAGATTCTTGAGTGGTTCGCTGGTTAATATGAGATGTGACTTTCCTTTAGGTACCCTGGTGCCAGTGCCATTTAGGGCTTTGAGGGCTTTCTGCATTTTCATTTCCCTTGCTTGAGTGTTGCTTCGTTGCTTCTGGAGTGGGTAGGTACTCTGTTCTACATGTGTTTGACTCCCTCTAGTGGTCGATTTGATATTACGCTGCTCTATGTGCGGCATATCTCCCTGCAGATTTAAAACGGAGAGGTTTTGTGCTGGACAGAAAGCGATGTAATATCGGATCAACCACTTGAAGTAGCAAGACATGTGCAGAACAGAAAAATAAATGACGAAGCAACAGGAAAACACAAATAAAGAGAATAAGAATGTGGGAAAGCCCTGAAGATAAGAAACAGCATTCTGAATTCCGCCCAGAAACAAAGGGACAATGAGTGCAGATCTTTCAGCATTGGAGTGATATGATCCCTGTATCCTGCCCCTGACAGTGGCCTGTATTTATTTATTTGGCACGTTTTCCTTTCTCCCTTCTTTCAAAGAATTTGGGGCAGTGTGTTCAATTCTCTTCCCCTCCTCCCTTTATTTCTCATAACAACCTTGTGAGGTAGATTGGGCTGAAAGAGAATGACCGGCTGGTGGACACCCACCAAGCTTCCATGGCAGGGCGAGGATTCGAATCTGTGTCACTCTGAACCTAGTCTAATGTTCTAACCATGATACTACCCTGGCTGTCTCATCGTACGTTGTCTCGTCATATATATTTAGGACAGCCAGTCTGGTGTAGCTGTGAAAGTGCGGGACTAGGCTCTGTAAGACCCAGGTTGGCATCTCCACTCTGCCAGGGAAGCTTACTGGGTGACTTTGGGCCAGTCACACACTCTAAGCCTAATAGGGATGGGCACAAATGGACTCACGAACTATAGTTCGTGACAAATTTTGATCGGTTCATGGTTTGTGAACTCCAGTTCGTGGTAGGTCAACTGGAACGGACTTTCCACGAACTCTCAAGCCGTTCATGGTGGGTTGTGGCGGTTGGTGAATGGATACATTTCCAGACAGACTGTCCCCACTCAATCACAATGTTTACCAAACTTCAAAGCAGTGAGGGGGGGAACTTGGAGGGCATACGGAGAAACATCAGGGGAGGTCTCATGTGAGTTTGATGTCTGTAGCTTGCACAGCGTCCATTCTATGTATTCCTAAACCTCCTGAACCTCTGTCTGTCATTTCCCCAGAAAGCACTTTCCTGGGGACATCTTCTTTGGGGCTGTTACGTGGACCTCATAAACCCAGTCCTCACCAAACTTAGAGGGCTGGTAAAGGAGAGTCAGCCAGAGATCCCAGTTCGTGCCCATCCCTACAGCCGAACCTACTTCACAGGGTTGCTGTGAGGATAAAACAGAAGAGGAGACAATGATACATGCTGCTCTGGGTCCCCACTGGGGAGAAAGGCGGGATATTAAATAAAGGAAATAAATAAAAATATTGCTCCCATGTCTATGGATTCTCATTACCTGTGTTTTGAGTTCAGGTTAATGAAAGCTGGTTTGATATTGAATTGGGGAGTGTGGAGATAATCTAGGTCTGCTAGAAATTGTTGTGTGTTTGCCTTGGCAAAGCAAAGGGCCCTGTTTCTGAATCCTGGTGTTGTTTAAGTTGGAAAGCTGACTCATGGGATTCTAAAGATGTACAAGGTCTGTGCGAAATGCTTTTGATTGCTTGCCTGCCTCTTTCTCTTCTGCGCTGGCACTGTGGTTAAAAAGTGACCTAGTTTTTGTCAAGATGGGTAGCCGTGTTAGTCTGGCAGTAGAAAAGAGCAAGAGTCCAGTAGCGCCTTAAAAGCTGACAAAATTTATGGCAGGGGATGAGCTCTTGTGAGCCCCTGCTCACTGCTTCAGATACAGCTAGAATGTTTCCAGTGCAGGCAAAAGGCAAGGGCAAAAAAAGACAAGGGCAATAGAAACCCAGGCAGAACAGAATCAAAGTCCCTGAGAATCTCTGCAGTAGAAACTGAAGGAGGGGGTTCATTTTTGCAAGCCCAGCAGAACCAGGGCAATGTACTAGTGCCCAGAAGAACCCAGTGCCATTGTGGCAATGCCAGCTCAACAGGACTGATGCACTTGCCTTAAAAACAAGTCTAGCTCACCATTTAGTGGTGCATAATGCTAAAGAGCTAAAATTTCTGGCTGTCAGAAAATCTTAGGATCTCCTGGCCCTTCTACACACAATGCCATACAATTTGGAAGGGCGACCTCCAAGGAATACCAGGGTCGTGGTGCAGAGGCAGGCAATGGCAAACCAGCTCTGAAATATCTCTTGCCTGAAAAACAAATCTAGCTTGCCACCTAGTGGTGCATAATGCTAAAGAGCTAGAACTTTTGCCTGCCAGACAATCTTAGGATCTCCTGGTTACTCTACACACAATGCCATATGATGATGATGATGATTTTCCATAAGTGAGCTGTGACTTGATGGCACTTTCTACCACAGCACCTTAAAGACTAAAAATGTTTTCCAGAGTATCAGCTTCCATGAGTCAAAGCACACTTTGTCAGGTACTAGCAAAGTCCGTTTTTCTTGACACACATGAAGCCATCCTGAGGAAAAGGGGGATCATTTGTACATGCCTTGTAACATCCCTTCCCAATTCTGTGAGCCAACCCTCCGACATTTTATTTTATTGCAGCCACCAAGAATCCGCCTGCAAATCTTTTTGTGGATTCGGAGACTCCCAACAGCCTGCAAGTCCACTGGAGTCCTCCAGAGGGTGCTGTGCAACACTACAGACTCACCTACACCCCCGAACTGGGCCAGAAGCACCAGGAGATGGTGGGTTTTGTGGAGGGTAATGCCTTCTGACCTGGATAGCCCAGGCTAAGCCTGATCTTGTGTGATTTAGGAAGCTAAGCAAGGTCAGCCCTGGTTTGGACTGGGATGGGAGACCACCAGGGAAGTCCAGAGTCACTACACACATGAACACACAGGAAGTTGCCTTAAACAAAATCAGACTCTTGGTCCATCAAGGTCAGTACTCAGACTGCAGCGGCTCTGCAGGGTCTACAGGCAGAGGTCTTTCCCATAGCTATTCTGGAGTTCACCCTGTATATTAAGTCGAATTCAGAGTCTATTGCTCCATCATCTTCTCCCAGAAACAGTGTTATTGCTTTCATCATCTCCAGTCTGATATTTTCTTTTTCATTTTCTGCAATGCCCCTAAATCTTAGATGGGTTTGCATTCTCCTGAACTCCGTCATAGTTTCAGATCTTCTGACTTGCTGTGTCAAGGAATCTTGTTTTTTCTCCACTTCTTGTATCTTTTCTTCCATTTCTGTGGTTTTGGTTGCCGTTGATTGGACTTCTTTCTTGACTCCTTCAACTTCTTGCTTGATTGAAGTTGTTTCAGTTGTCACCAGGTCTTCTATTGCGGCTATGTTTTTTTCCTGGACTTCTTCCAATTGCTTCAGATGTATTTGGGTTTGCTTTTCCATTTGTGCTTCCAGTTGTTTGACTATCTGGGTCTCTAGTTGTTTTTCTATCTGCACTCCCATGTTACGTGGACCTCATAAACCCAGTCCTCACCAAACTTGGAGGGCTGGTAAAGGAGAGTCAGCCAGAGATCCCAGTTCGTGCCCATCCCTACAGCTGAACCTACTTCACAGGGTTGCTGTGAGGATAAAACAGAGGAGGAGAGAATGATACGTGCTCCTCTGGGTCCCCACTGGAGAAAGGCGGGATATTAAATAAAGGAAATAAATACAAATATTGCTCCCATGACTATGGATTCTCATTACCTGTGTTTTGAGCTCAGGTTAATGAAAGCTGGTTTGATGTTGAATTGGGGAGTGTGGAGATAATCTAGGTCTGCTAGAAATTGTTGTGTGTTTGCCTTGGCAAAGCAAAGGGCACTGTTTCTGAATCCTGGTGTTGTTTAAGTTGGAAAGCTGACTCATGGGATTCTGATGCCGGGGATTGGACCTGGGACCTTCTGCATGCCAAGCAGATGCTCTCCCACTGAGCCACAGCCCTTCTTTACAGCTCTCCAGGGTCTCAGGCGGAGGTCTTTCCCATCACCTCCTGCCTGGTCCTCTTAACTGGAGATGCCGGGGATTGGACCTGGGACCTTCTGCATGCCAAGCAGATGCTCTCCCACTGAGCCACAGCCCTTCTTTACAGCTCTCCAGGGTCTCAGGCGGAGGTCTTTCCCATCACCTCCTGCCTGGTCCTCTTAACTGGAGATGCCGGGGATTGGACCTGGGACCTTCTGCATGCCAAGCAGATGCTCTCCCACTGAGCCACAGCCCTTCTTTACAGCTCTCCAGGGTCTCAGGCGGAGGTCTTTCCCATCACCTCCTGCCTGGTCCTCTTAACTGGAGATGCCGGGGATTGGACCTGGGACCTTCTGCATGCCAAGCAGATGCTCTCCCACTGAGCCACAGCCCTTCTTTACAGCTCTCCAGGGTCTCAGGCGGAGGTCTTTCCCATCACCTCCTGCCTGGTCCTCTTAACTGGAGATGCCGGGGATTGGACCTGGGACCTTCTGCATGCCAAGCAGATGCTCTCCCACTGAGCCACAGCCCTTCTTTACAGCTCTCCAGGGTCTCAGGCGGAGGTCTTTCCCATCACCTCCTGCCTGGTCCTCTTAACTGGAGATGCCGGGGATTGGACCTGGGACCTTCTGCATGCCAAGCAGATGCTCTCCCACTGAGCCACAGCCCTTCTTTACAGCTCTCCAGGGTCTCAGGCGGAGGTCTTTCCCATCACCTCCTGCCTGGTCCTCTTAACTGGAGATGCCGGGGATTGGACCTGGGACCTTCTGCATGCCAAGCAGATGCTCTCCCACTGAGCCACAGCCCTTCTTTACAGCTCTCCAGGGTCTCAGGCGGAGGTCTTTCCCATCACCTCCTGCCTGGTCCTCTTAACTGGAGATGCCGGGGATTGGACCTGGGACCTTCTGCATGCCAAGCAGATGCTCTCCCACTGAGCCACAGCCCTTCTTTACAGCTCTCCAGGGTCTCAGGCGGAGGTCTTTCCCATCACCTCCTGCCTGGTCCTCTTAACTGGAGATGCCGGGGATTGGACCTGGGACCTTCTGCATGCCAAGCAGATGCTCTCCCACTGAGCCACAGCCCTTCTTTACAGCTCTCCAGGGTCTCAGGCGGAGGTCTTTCCCATCACCTCCTGCCTGGTCCTCTTAACTGGAGATGCCGGGGATTGGACCTGGGACCTTCTGCATGCCAAGCAGATGCTCTCCCACTGAGCCACAGCCCTTCTTTACAGCTCTCCAGGGTCTCAGGCGGAGGTCTTTCCCATCACCTCCTGCCTGGTCCTCTTAACTGGAGATGCCGGGGATTGGACCTGGGACCTTCTGCATGCCAAGCAGATGCTCTCCCACTGAGCCACAGCCCTTCTTTACAGCTCTCCAGGGTCTCAGGCGGAGGTCTTTCCCATCACCTCCTGCCTGGTCCTCTTAACTGGAGATGCCGGGGATTGGACCTGGGACCTTCTGCATGCCAAGCAGATGCTCTCCCACTGAGCCACAGCCCTTCTTTACAGCTCTCCAGGGTCTCAGGCGGAGGTCTTTCCCATCACCTCCTGCCTGGTCCTCTTAACTGGAGATGCCGGGGATTGGACCTGGGACCTTCTGCATGCCAAGCAGATGCTCTCCCACTGAGCCACAGCCCTTCTTTACAGCTCTCCAGGGTCTCAGGCGGAGGTCTTTCCCATCACCTCCTGCCTGGTCCTCTTAACTGGAGATGCCGGGGATTGGACCTGGGACCTTCTGCATGCCAAGCAGATGCTCTCCCACTGAGCCACAGCCCTTCTTTACAGCTCTCCAGGGTCTCAGGCGGAGGTCTTTCCCATCACCTCCTGCCTGGTCCTCTTAACTGGAGATGCCAGGGATTGAACCTGGGACCTTCTGCATGCCAAGCAGAGGCTCTGCCAGTGAGCCACAGCCCCTCCCCCAAAGAGGCAAGCAGTGGCAAACCACCTCTGTTTCTCTGTCCTGACCTGGATGCCCCGGGTGAGCCTGATCTCGCCAGATCTCAGAAGCTAAGCAGGGTCAGTCCTGCTTAGTACTTGGATGGGAGACCAACAAAGAAGCATGGGGTTGCTAAGCAGATGCAGGCAGTGGCAAACCACCTCTGGGCATCCCTTTCCTTGATAACCCTATGGGGTTGCCATAAATTGGTTGCAACTTGATGGGGAAAAAAGAATATCCTCTAGGGCAAGACATCTCTTTGGCGTAGTGGTTAAGAGCACGGACTCTAATCTGGGGGAACTGGGTTTGATTCCGCACTCCTCCACATGCAGCTGTGGCCACATGCAGCTGTGGCTGTGGCCATCAGCCAATTGGAGTGGACATAGGTGTGTCCAATTTGTTAGTTGTCATGGGTACAACTGGGGATAGGCTGGAAGTCTGGAAACCATGCCTGCAGTCACATGCCCCCAAACTCCAGCTTCTCCTTGCTGACGTGCCTTTTTGCCTGTGAGCCAGCCATTAAGTCTGGCTTTTGGCATGAATGTGTGAAGAATGTGGGTTTATGGCATGCAATTGAGGCCATGTGCCATAAACTGGTTGCAACTTGATGGCAAAAAAAAGAATGTCCTCTAGGGCAAGACGTAGTGGTTAGCAGCGCGGACTCTAATCTGGGAGAACTGGGTTGGATTCCGCACTCCTCCACATGCAGCTGCTGGAGTGACCCTTGGGTGGCCCAAGGTCATCCAACAAACTTCTGGGGTATAGTGGGTGATTTGGAGAGCCAGTTTGGTGTAGTGGTTAGGAGCACAGACTCTAACCTTGGAGAACTGGGTTTGATTCCCCACTCCTCCACATGCAGCTGCTGGTATGACCTTTGGTCAGTCATAAGTTCTTTCAGAGCTCTCTGAGCCCCACCTACCTCACAGTGTGTCTGTTGTGGGGAGAGGAAGGGAAGGAGATTGTAAACCACTCTGAGTGAAGGGCGGATTATAAATCCAATCTCTCCTCCTCCTTCCCTGAAGATTCTGTTTCAGCCACCCACTGCAAAAGGAAGAATAACCCTTCCCGGGGCTGTTCCTTTTGCGACTTCAACCTATACCTCATCTAATTGCACCAGAGTCAGGATAATTTACATTAAACACTAAAATCTGTTCAGCTAGGGGGAAAAAGTCATTCAAAGTAACACAAATCCAGATGCATTCCAGTCTGAGCCAAGGTTAAATAGACACCGCTGAAGACTAGAGTAAAAAGAAATAAAAAGGAACATTTTACAAATGGTTTTTGAAAATAGGCAAGCCTGGAAATGGATTCTGCTGGTGGATGTTTCATAGGGCCATGGAGCTGGACTGAGGGGACCTGGGTTCAGATTAGGGGTATGCACCCCCCCAAAAAAAAATCTGAATTTTTCAGGTTCTGATCTACCGAACCCAAAAAAATTCGGTATTTGCCGATATTCCCGAATCCCAGTATTGATATGATACTGAGGTTCAGGGATTATTGGACTAGCCAAATTTATTTGGCTCAATTATACCCTATGGGGACTGTCCCCATAGGGTATAATATCCCCCCCCCTTGAAGGAGGAGTTTCCCATCACTGAAAGGAAGACAAATTGCCTTCCCTTCAATGAAGGGAAGTTTAAATCCCCCCCCCAGAGTCGCACCGCAGGGGCAGCACGCTCCCTTCGTTGAAGGGAAGGCAATTTGCCTTCCCTTCAGTGACAGGAGCTGGTTGCCCCCCCCCCGAGGTAGCCCCCCCTGCCTTCCCTGGCCCACCCGCAGAAGCAGGCAAGCTGGGGAAGGCCTGGAGCCAGACCCCACTGCCTTCCCTGGCCCACCAGTTGAGGCAGGTGAGCCGGGGAAGGCCCTGGAAGGAGCGGGGAGGCATTTAAATGCACATCCCTAGTTCAGATTCTTGCTGAATTGTGAAATGGGTTGCCAATGTGGGGCCTGAAAATTTCCTGGCATTACAACTGATCTCCAGACAGGGGTCAGTCCCCCTGGAGAAAATGGCTGCTTTGGAGGGTGGGCTCTAGGCCATTGTACCCTCCTGAGGTCCCTCCCCAACCCCCCCTTCCACAGGCTCCTCCCACAAAGTCTCCAGGTATTTTCCAAGCAGAGCTGACAACCCTAACTGTGACCCCAAAGTCTCCAAGTATTTTCCAACCAGAGCTGACAACCCTAACTGTGAAGCTCCTCAGTTGTCTGTCTGTTAGGGGCGTGCGCTTGGAGATACCCAAGCTGAAAATAAACTGGAAAATAGCTGTTTCAGGTCAGCTCAGAGGTATCCAAAATGATTCAAAACACTCCCAAATTCCAGGAGGGGAAAAAATGTTTATCTCCTGGAATTTCAGGAGTGTTTCAGGTGCTCGGAGCCAAGAGAGAGCGAGAGAAAGCTGGTCCACCAAACATCTGTTGGTGCCGTCACCCTCCCTTTAAGTGTTTGTCTCCCGTGGTAGGTCTACAACCCATAGAAAATCATGGAGGCATTATTTCCTGTGATTGGTGGAGATGTCAGGTATAGCAGCAGGAAATAATGGCTCCGTTTTCCTATGGGCAGTAGACCTCCCTTGGAGTCGAACACTCTGTGTCATACAGTAGCCAAAACCCAGGGGCCATCAGGAGGTCCACCAGCAGGGTCAGAACTCCAGAAGCCATCCCCCTGTGCCCCCCAAGCACAAGAATACAGAGCATCACTGCCCCAGACATAAGAACACAAGAGAAGCCATGTTGGATCAGGCCAATGGCCCATCCAGTCCAACACTCTGTGTCACATAGTGGTGCCATCAGGAGGTCCACTAGTGGGGCCAGAACTCCAGAAGCCCTTCCCCTGTGGCCCCCCAAGCACCAAGAATACAGAGCATCACTGCCCCGAACATAATAACATAAGAGAAGCCATGCTGGATCAGGCCAATGGCCCATCCAGTACAACACTCTGTGTCACACAGTGGCCAAAACCCAGGTGCCATCAGGAGGTCCACCAGTGGGTCCAGAACTCCAGAAGCCCACCCACTGTTGCCTCCCAAGCACCAAGAATACAGAGCATCACTGCCCCAGACTAAGTGTTCCATCTATACCATGTGGCTAATAGCCACTGATGTTTTGTTCCATATGTTCATCCAATCAGTTCTTGAAGCTGTCTATGCTTGTAGCTGCCACCACTTCCTGTGGCACTGAATTCCTGTTTTGTATCCTCCAAATGAGACTTGAATGTCAAAAAGGAGTATTCATTTAGGCTATAAAACTTACCTTGTTTTCTCCTGCAGATAATGCTGTCGGGTAAAAGCCGGACCATCACACTTCACTCACTCCTTCCTGGTACAGTGTACACAGTGACAGTTTCTGCAGTCTATGCCACAGGAGAGAGTGATCCCATCTCTACAACTGGCCAGACAGGTAGTAAAATCAGTGGATTCCTTATCTTCTTCTTTTTTGTATCCTGTTTTGATGTTCTCAGGCAAACCTACTTCACAGGGTTGTTGTGAGGCGGAAAGAACCATCCATGTATGCTGCCTTGGTCTCCTCGAAAGAAGTGTGCAATAAAATGTAGTTGTAATGGAAAGCTTAATTTCAGAGCAAAGTTTAAAAGCTTAGGTAGCTGCTTGGAAGGTAGCCTGCAGCTGAGTGGTCACATGACCAGAGAGGCAGAGAGAGAGAGAGAGAGAAACAGAGAGAGAGAGAGAGAGAGGCTTACCAAGGTCCGGCGGGGGAATCGTATTTCTTGGCAGGAGCCTCCACGCGCTGCACCCGCTCGTCGTGGGGACAGCTCCACGCGCTGCACCCGCCGTCACCAGGATGTGACGCTCCGCGTTGCTCTGGCAACGGGGCTGTTTGGAGTAAACAGCAGTCACTAGGGGCGTGGGGGGGTATTTGTGAGTTTCCTGCACTGTTCAGGGGGTTGGACTAGATGACCCTTGAGATCCCTTCCAACTCTATGATTCTATGATTCTATTATTTACATCCCCGTCGTATTCCCATCCAGGTACTTCCACCCTAGCCTACCTCACAGAATTGTTAACTCTAGAAATACTTTTTTAAAGCGCATAATAGAGTCCCATCCTATTCTCCACTGGTTTTCAGCTGGACAGAGTTAATGCTGAACACACGACAACGTATCTGTGCATTCCCTACTGTAGGAGCATTAGTAAAGATTAGTCATAGATGAGCTGGTAACCTCTTGGCCTGACTACTGTAATACGATTCACACGGGGCTGTGCTTGAAGACTGTTTAGAAACTGCATTCTGTCCAGAATTCTGCAACATGATTTTTGTAGGGTTCTGACCGTGTGAATCATGCCAGCAAAGCCCAAAGAGCAGCGGCATGGAACCACAAATGCTAACATGTACCACGGGCACAGATGTTTGTATATTTGTTTAAAACATATCTAGGGACAGTTTCTTTTAGCATTTGTGGTTCCACTGGGCACAATGCAGCTTGAACGTTATGTTCCTGTGAATGTTTTCTCTCACCTCTGTCCCTGCAAGGTGGTGGTCAGGAACTCACATATAGACCGTCTTCCGGTGGATGATTCATCCCTCTGGATTTTATCCCTGCATGCCTTTCATGTCACTGCTTTGTTCTATGAGTTCGAGAACGTGAATCGTGCCCGAGAAGATACGACACGAGATTCGTGCAAAGTGTGACATGACCCAGAAAGTTCGAGAATGTGAATTGTGCCCAAGATATGCTAGTTAATTGTTCAGTACTGTTGTACCTAGCAGTCGGTAGATAAGGAAGGGGACTGGTGGAGGAACAAGACAGTAGGCACGCACAACAGTGACCTGATGGATGCGGGAAACTGGTCCTTTCTGCATTTGCCCACCACTCCAGATTTTCTCAGTGTTTGAGTCCAGGCAATTTAATAAGTCCAGGGCAAAACGGCATCCAAATAACCCGGGGCAACAGCAGGCTGAAACCGGGTTGACCCTGAAGGGAGGTAATGTAATGCAGAATGAGGAAAAAACTGGAATCAAAAGAAGGTTGGACTCAGTTTTACTGCATAATGTGGGGGGATTAAAAAGAAGGTTGGATTAGATTTTCATGCAGAATTGCTTGGAGGACACCGCGGTGGACATGGATTAAAAGGAGAACGCAGAAATATCTCCAGATATTTTTCAGGCTGCCCTTGGCATATCTTTTCCTTGACTGTCTCGTTTCCCTTTTGGAACAGGGGATTACAATAGTTTTTAGCCGGCTTTCGTTTTAAGAACGGCATCACACTGCATGTTTGTTTGTTTGATCTCTTGCTAGCCTCAGCCTTGGCCAGGTTGCCCACTTCAAGAGGATCGGCCCCATTCAGAACTGACGGTAAGGCCTCTGCGGTGCTACTCTGTTTCCTTTCCGTTGTAAAAACCAGGGGTCATACTTATTTCCTGCAGGAGCGCACAGGAGCGGAGCTCCGGCAGTAAAGAGCCCAGGGGGCGGGCACATGCAACAAGCCCCACCCCCTGCTCCCAGCAGCCCTCGTCAGAGCAAGGTAAGTTGCAGAGCTCCCCCCCAGCCCAAAACAGTCCAGTGGCACCTTGAAGACCAGATTTTATTCAGGTACAAGCTCTCCCTCCTCTGCGGGGACAGATCTGCACGGCCCCCCCCCAATAGCTAGCAATCCAAAACAGTCCAGTAGAGCCTGAGTGGTGGGTGTGGCCGTTTCACACACTTCCGGTGATGTCAGGGGGTGTGGCATATGCAAATAAGTTATGCAAATAAGTTATGCTAATGAGCTCCTGCACCGCTTTTTCTGCGAAATGACCCCTGGTAAAAACTAGTCTTTTTGCACAGTCTTCCGGTGTGTGTCTGTGTGTCCTCAATGCTGCCAAGCTGCTTCAGACTTATGGTGACCCTATGAATTAAAGTCCTCCCAAATGTTAACAGCGTCGCTCAGGTCTTGCAAACTGAGGGCCTTTGTGGCTTCCTTGAATGAGTCAATCCATCTCATGTTGGGTCTTCCTCTTTTCCTGCTGCCTTCCCCTTTTCCAGTTTGAGAGCCAGTTTGGTGTAGTGGTTAGGAGCATGGACTCTAATCTGGGAGAACTGGGTTTGATTCCCCACTCCTCCACGTGCAGCTGTTGGTGTGACCTTGGGTCAGTCACAAGTTCTCTCAGAGCTGTTCTCTCAAGGGCAGTTCTCAAAGGAGCTCTCTCAGCCCCACCTACCTCACATGCAGTGTTCCCTCTAAGCTGAGTTAGTGTGAGCTAGCTCACAGTTTTTTAGCCTCTAGCTCAGGAAGGATGGCTCCAGAGCAAACTAATTTATGCAGCAGCCAAATTGCTCGCTCACAACTTTAATGCCAGTAGCTCACAAAGTAGAATTTTTGCTCAAGACTCCACAGCTTAGAGGGAACATTGCTCACAGGGTGTCTGTTGTGGGGAGGGGAAGGGAAAGGAGTTTGTAAGCCACTCTGAGACTCCTTCGGGTGGTGAAGGGCGGGGTATAAATCCAATCTCGTTGTCTTCTTCTTCCTAGCATGATTGTCTTTTCCAGCAACTCTTGTCTTCTCATAATGTGACCAAAGGACGATAGTCTCAGTTGAGTCATTTTAGCTTCTTGGGAAAGTTCAAGCTTGATTTGATCTAGAAGCCTCTTCTTTATCTTTCTGGCGGTCCACGTGATCTGTAAAACTCTCCTCCAATACCACATTTCAAAAGATTCTACTTTCTTCCTGTCCACTTACTTCATTGCTGAGCAGTCGGGTTAGAACAGATAAAAGGAAGTACTTCTTCACCCCAAGAGTGATGAACACACGGAATTCACTGCCACAGGAGGTGGTGGTGGCTACAAGCATTGACAGCTTCAAGAGGGAATTAGATAAACATATGGAGCAGAGGTCCATCAGTGGCTGTTAGGCACAAGGTATAGATAGGAACTCTCAGTCTGGGGCAAGTGAAGCTCTGTCTTCTTGGTGCTTGGGGGGGGGCAACAGTGGGAGGGCTTCTAGTGTCCTGGTCCCATTGCTGGACCTATTTTTGACCACTGTGTGACAGAGTGTTGGACCGGATGGGCCATTGGCCTGATCCAACATTGGCTTCTCTTATGTTCTTATTGTCCAACTTTCACACTCATACATAGTAATGGGGAATACTGCGGTATGAATTATCTTGATATGGGTTGCCAGTGACACACCCTTACCCTGAATAATTTTTTTCTAGCTGCTTCATGGCTCCCCTTCCCAGTCTCTGTGTCCTTCTGATTTCTTGGGTGCAGTCTCCCTTTGGGTTGATGAAAGAGCCAAGGAATAGGAAACCTTGAACAATTTCCATTCCCTCATTGTCAGCCTTAAACTTCTGTATAGAACCCATTTGCTTGAGAAGGGGGGACAGTGGGAGGGCTTCTAGTGTCCGGGCCCTACTGGTGGACCTCCTGATGGCACCTGGTATTTTTGGGTACTTTGTGACAGAGTGTTGGACTAGATGGGCCATCCAACATTGGCTTCTCTTATGTTCTTATGTCTTTTTGGCCATACACAGTATCCGTAGAACTCTCTTCCAACACCACATTTCAAATGAACAGTCTTCCTAGAATGGTGAAAAAGAAGAAGAAGAGTTCTTTAGGAATCCGGTGCCAGAGGTCTGATTGCTGGATTTTGAAATTTGTAAAGCTTTTTTCCGAGCGCGGCACAATTCTGCTGTAATCTGAAGTGGCAGGGGGTGTTTTCGCTCGGTTTCCCAAGGTGAAACAAATGCAAATCCACAAGGTGCAGAGTGATTCTCAACAAAACGTCTGGCATTCTACAGGAAGACGATATTTATTTCTGTGCCCTTAGCGGAAAAGGGAGGCTGCGAATGTATTTCAGGAAGCCTTTCAATTAAATTCCCCCTCTCTTTAAAATGCTTTATTAATGTGAGATTGTCTGGGGCGTCTCTTCAAATGACTAGCTATAAAACACATTTGGAAGAGGGTTCCATTGAACAAACTAGGCTGTAAAAAACCTGTCGGGGAGTCAATTGTAAAATACAGACGTCACCAAAATTGGTTTTGCGGCTTTCTCCGTGACGGCAAAGGTTCCTCTCTAGAATGTTTGTTGGAGGAATGCGGCAAAGAGAGGAAAAATGAATTGGATTTAGCTGCAAATCAGGAACAATTTGGGCCACGTTATAGCGTCAGAGTTTTTACCACCCTTCTGATTGACCTGGGAGAGAGGTAGGAGGTAGGAGCTGGAGAACTGGGTTCAATTCCCCACTCCTCCACTTGCACCTGCTGGATGACCTTGGGCAAGCCATAGTTCTGGCACAGCTGTTCTTGAAAAAGAGCAGTTTCTGTCAGAGCGCTCTCAGCCCCACTGACCTCACAGGGTTTCTGTTGTGGGGTGGGGGAGGGAAAGGAGTTTGTGAGCCGCTCTGAGACTCCTGTGGGTAGTGAAGGGCGGGGTATAAATCCAATCTCCTCCTCCTCCTCCTCTTCTTCTTCCTCCCTAGATGTGTACCACTAAGGAAATATAAAAATTAAGAATATAAGAACCTAAGAAGAGCCCTGCTGGATCAGCCCAATTGTCCATATAGTCCAACATCCTGTCTCACACAGTGGCCAACCAGTTCCTTTGGACAGGGCAGAGAGGCAGAGGCCTTCCCTTGATGTTGCCTCATTGCTCTGGGATTAGTGCCTCTGAATGCGGAGGTTCCCCTCAGTCCCCGTGGCTAGTAGCCACTGATAGACTTATCCTCCATGATCCTTTCTAATCCCCTTTTAAACCTGTGTATTCCCGTGGCCATCACTACATCCCCTGGCAGCCAATTCCACATTTTAATCACTCTCGGTGTAAAGCAGCATTTCCTTTTGTCGTCCTAAATCTACGGCCTGTCAGCTTCATTGGCAGTCACTGGGGAGAGGCCTAATCAAAATGGATGCCCGCTGCCTCAACTAAAAGTCCTGGTGGAAGAGCTCCGTTTTGCAGGCCCTGCGGAACTGGAACAGGCCCTGCGGGGCCCTGCTCTCATATGGTAGCTCATTCCACTAGGCAGGGGCCAGGGCCGAAAAAGCCCCGGCCCTAGATGAGGCAAGTCGGACATCCCTAGGGCCAGCCCCGGCCCCCGGCCCGCCGCCGCAGGGCTCTTTTTGTAACAGGAACTCCTTTGCATATTAGGCGACACACCCCTAATGTAGCCAATCCTCCAAGAGCTTACAGAGCTCTTCTGACAGGGGCTACTGTAAGCTCTTGGAGGGTTGGCTACATTAGGGGTGTGTCGCCTAATTTGCAAATTACATATAACAACCAATAAGATTGTGTAGTTAAAGACCAATGAGAGTCTTTCCCTCTCTGGAGCTTGTACAGTTCCTGATTGGTCGCTGTTGGAGGGCGACCAATGATAATGCAGTTCAGAGAAGCCTTCATCCGGCTCAAGCTTTACATTGGAAGTGAATGAGGTGATTCATATAAGCTTTTCCTAATACATAACACACACTATGACTAAAAACCTAAGAAAGGAAGGTCATTAACAGTTAGTATTCAGTTAGTCATAAAAATAATAACTTTTCGTTTAAGTCAATGAATTCAAGAGTTAGTGAGTCCGTTTTAGTAACTTTTTTTTTTTTAATGTGCACAAAGTCTCTTTCATCTTCTTCTTCAGTTGCGGGTCTTTAACAAAGGAGTTCCTGCTACAAAAAGAGCCCAGAACGTAAGATTCTATGGGGCTCATATGGGGAGAGGCGGTCTCGAAGATACCACGTATGCTGACGGTGCTGTCTTACTAGCAAACATTATTCATGAGAATAACATGCCAAGGAGATGCTCAGAAAGGCTTTTACACTAGAGGACACCCCCTTGAGTGTCCTTGCTTTTCAGGGGCATCTTTGATCCCACCCCCCATCAAAGGCTTCCTTTGTCTCAGATTCTGGCTCGGTCTCATTGCAGCCCGAGACTTTTCCAGAAGCAAATAACCGCGGTGCTTTGGTTTTTGGAGGAATCTTTTTTTTCTTCTGCTGAAATTTAAAAGGAAAGCACTTTAGAACTCTTCAACCAAAAGAGCCTTTGATTCTCCCTCGCCTATCTCTGATTTGTATGAGCGGCAGTTCCCAATTCTTGATTCCCCGGCTCAAAGGATGAGTGGAGATTTAGCTAGGGATTTCCTGCAAGAGGTGGACGGCCGGCAGGTGCCCAAGTACTTAGATTTTGGACAAAAGAGGCTCATTTAGCCATGCACAATGCAGTCGACAGAACGGGCACGAAAAGGAGGTAGAAGAATGTGCTCCCTTTCTAAATTTGTAATTAATATTAATACACAGGCACGGAGTCATTGTTTGGATTGTTTCTTGGCAAATAAACAACTGCTTTAGTTTAAGATTAAAACAGCATCTTGTCGTCTCTGTGGTCTGAAAAACAGAGGACAGGAAGGCCGTCTCCTTCTGTATGTCCCAATGAGCCAACTGTGGTAGGGTTACCAACTTCAAGGTAATAACTGGAGATCTCCCACTATTATAATTGATCTCCAGGCGATAGAGGCCAGTTCACCTGGAGAAAATGGCTGCATAGGAAGGTGGACTCTATGGTATTAGACCTCATTTAACTCTCTCCCCTCCCCAAACGCCACCCTTTTCAGGCTCCACTCCCCCAAATCTCCAGGTATTTCCCAACCTGGAGGTGGCAACCCTCCACTGGGGTCATCAGGCAGCCATCTGCTGGCTATCCTGCCACTTAGGGTGGTCCGTCTGGCATCAACCTGGCGCTCAGGCCAATTCCATCATTGCCTCCAGCTCTGTGGAATGGTTCCCCTGGAGAGGTTAGGGGGCCCTTCTTGGTTGTGTTGCCAACCTCCAGGCGGTGGCTTGAGATCTCCTGGGCTTATTACTGATCGCCAGGCGACCGATCAGTTCATCTGGAGAAAATGGCAGAGCACAGTTTCACTATTCAAACCCAACTCCCCTGCTCTTAGAGGTAAAGGTAAAGGTTCCCTTGCTCGAAAGCCAGTCAAATCCGACTCTAGGGTTGCGGTGCTCATCTCCGTTGCAAAGCCGAAGAGCCAGCGCTGTCCGAAGACGTTTCCGTGGTCATGTGGCCGGCATGACTAAACACCAAGGTGCACGGAACGCTGTTCCCTTCCCACCAAAGTGGTACCTATTTATCTACTTGCAATTTCTTGCTTTCGAACTGCTAGGTTGGCAGGAGCTGGAACTAGAGACGGGAGCTCACTCCATCATGCGGCGGGTCTCAAACTGCTGAACTAGCGATCTTCCACAGCCTGCAGTTCAGCATCTTAACCACTTGAGCCATTAAACCCATCCTTTAAAAACACACATTTCCCCCTTTAAAATGCTAATTAAATAGAAGTGAGCCTGGTTTTGGAGGTTAAATGGTTAATCCTCCTCTCCCATCCCTGTCGGATCCTGAGGCAAATTGAGGCTGCATGAATGTGTATATTTCAACTTCCCCAGGCTCCACCCCCTAAGTCTCCAGGAATTCCCCAACTCGGAGCTGGCAACCCCAGTCCTTGGAAACCTTCAGGAGGCACTGCAAGGCCTGCCTGTATGCCAGGGCTTTTAAGGAAGCTTAAATGGCAGGGAACGTTTAAGGAGGGGAGGTCAGGAGAGATTAGGGGTTTGCTGTTTTATTTTTGGTTGTAACCAGGGCTATTTTTGGGCAGGAACGCACAGGAACGGAGTTCCGGCTGGCTCCTGAGTTGGCCACGCCCAGCAGGAACTCATTAGCATAATAGGCCACACACACCCAACAGCAGGAACTCATTAGGATTGGCTACATTAGGGGTGTGTGGCCTAACATGCAAGGGAGTTCCTGCTACAAAAAAGCCCTGGGTTTGGACAACAGACAAGGTAAACAGAATAGCAAGCAAAAGGTGGGTGTGGCTGGGTGACCACACTTCTGGTAACTTGGGTGTGTGGCCTAATATGCTACTGTGCTGTGCTGTCAAGGGTGTGTCCTAATATGCTAATGAGTTCCTGCTGTTGGGTGTGGCCTATTATGCTAATGAGTTCCTGCTGGGCTTTTTCTACAAAAAAAGCCCTGGTTGTAACTGAAAATGCTTTAAACTACTTCTGCAATCCTCCTTGAGCTTCACTGGATGCCCTCGAGTACCAGTATTTTGGGAGAGAGACATTCCTGGAGATTTGGGGAGGAGGGTGGAGCCTGGGAAGGGCGGAGTTTGGGAATGGGAGGGACAGCTAGGTAGGATGCCGCAGAGCCCGCCTTCCAAAACTCCCATTTTCTCCAGGAGAACTGATCTCTGTAGGGTTGCCAGGTCTGGGATGGAAAATACCTGGAGACTTTGGGGGTGGATCCAGGAGAGGGGCAGTGGAACTGGCCATTTCCTGCTTCTTCTTCCAGTTCTGCTGCTGCTGCTGCATCATTGGAGGTTTGCAGCTTACAGATTCCCACCTGAACAGCGTACTCAAGATTGCAACAGCACAGACATTTCGATGCAGGCATTCAGAGCAAGGGGTGTCAGCTATCAGACACTGTTATATAAACAAAATATTGCAGGAGTGCTGATGTTTTAAGCGTGTTTTTATTTTAAGTAAAAAAAGAGAAACCCTTTTGTGTTTGTGTCCTTTATAAAGTTGATATCTCCGCTACCTGGCATTACCTTTTATGACATGCATGGCCCGGCCCAACAAGGTCTCATATCTGTCAGATCCGGCCCTCGTAACAAATGAGTTCGACACCCCTGCATTAGAGTCTACTCTCCAAAGCAGCCCTCTTCTCCAGGGGAGCTGATCTCTGTCAGCTGGAGGTCAGTTGTAAAAGCAGGAGATCTCCAGGCCCCACCTGGAGGCTGGCGACCCTAGATCCCTGTAGCCTGGAGGTGAGTGGAGATCCCGCGAGATCTCCAGGCACCATCTGGAGGTTGGCAACCCTAGCTTGTCTGAGTGTTCCAATGAACCATGAAGTTCTACTAGAATGCCTGGAACATCCCTTTGCATGCTCTTGCAGGTGGTGGTGGTGGTGGGGGCTTGGCTATGATCGTCACACGGCAATTATATTGTTGATGGTTTCCGTCTCGTTTCCTTCTGCAGACTGCCCTCCCCTCGACTCCTCTGAAGGCGCCCTACAAGGTAGGGCTTTGATTGTGCTCTGTGATCACGCAAAGCGACCCTTTCACTTTGAAGCTTGTACTTTACCTTACCGCTGAAACCAGAATTATTCCTCCTGAATATGATTCCAGACATATTTGGAAAGACAAATAAAATAATTTTGATACAAAGTGTGACTGCCGCCAAAATATTGTACGCGAGATATTGGGAAACAGATAAGATTCCCGATAAGGAAGAGTTTATATCTAAATTATCAAATGTGGTTGAAATGAATAAAGGTAAAGGTTCCCTTCCTCGAAAGCCAGTCGACTCCGACTCTAGGGTTGCGGTGCTTATCTCCGTTTCAAAGCCGGAGAGCCAGCACTGTCCAAAGACGTTTCCGTGGTCATGTGGCCGGCATGACTAAATACCAAGGCGCACAGAACGCTGTTACCTTCCCACCAAAGTGGTACCTATTTATCTACTTGCAATTTCTTGCTTTCGAACTGCTAGGTTGGCAGGAGCTGGAACTAGAGACTTGATACATAGTGTGACTGCCGCCAAAATATTATACGCGAGATATTGGAAAACAGATAAGATTCCTGATAAGGAAGAGTTTATATCTAAATTATTAAATATGGTTGAAATGAATAGACTGACATTATTATTAAAATGGAAAGAAGAAAAATACTTTGAGAATACTTGACTAAAGCTGTATAGATGGATAAAAAATATTAATTGAAAGATATACTTTATTTTCTGCAACACTGTGGGAAGATTCTTACAACATGAATATTTGTATAAACAAAGTTAAGATGTATATTAAAAAAAGTTATAGAAAATAAATAAATAAAGGGAGCAATCAGACAGCAACATCTGGGAAGCGTCCCACCGCCATCGGCAACTCGTGCTGCTCTACCGCAGAAGCGGAGTTAAAAGACACCGGGGAACGTCCAGTAGTAAATGGGTTCCGATGGGCCATGGACTGATTTCCCCGTATCTGATCGCTACAGCGGGCTCTTGTGCCATCGGGATGGTCTGATCAAGCCACCCCGACTCCGTGCCATTGTTCTTTTCTTGTCGCAAACTCCACAGGGAGCCCTCAGTGCGGAGGTGCAATTCCCCGATTCCTCATTTAAGTGCATGAGAAAGAAACAGCAAAAAAAAAAAAAAAACATGATCCACCCACGGTTGCATCTGATCACACTGTGACAGGCTGAGCCCGCAGCTGAGAGCCAGTTTGGTGTAGTGGTTAAGTGCGCGGACTCTAATCTGGGAGAACCGGGTTTGATTCCCCACTCCTCCACTTGCACCTGCTGATGTGACCTTGGGTCAGTCACAAGCTCTGGCACAGCTGTCCTTGAAAAAGAGCAGTTTGTGTCAGAGCTCTCTCAGCCCCACCCACCTCACAGGGTGTCTGTTGTGGGGAGGGGAAGGGAAAGGAGCTTGTCAGCCGCTCTGAGACACCTTTGGGTTGTGAAGGGCGGGGTATAAATCCAATCTCTTCTTCTTCTTCTTCTTTAAAGGAATGTGTGCTCTCGCAATTGCTTTTCAAATTCCTCCGGAGGGAATAGCCTCAATTCCCCTCTGCTTCCACTGGCACATGTGACCGCAGCCTTAGATGGTTTGTTGTTTGCATTGCCCTCTAGTTCTGTAATCCTGGTCCTACCGTTGCATTATTCACTGGTTGTCTTCCGATGTCTGATTGTGCTGCGTATGCCCGCTAATCCATCTTGTATCTCAGTGAGAAAGGCAGACTATCAATCAAGTAGGTAAGATCAAATACATGGCACCAAACAGAGCTTGAGTGTTCCAGTCCCTGTGTCACTAGGGCAGTGATTGGATGCTCATCAGGCATTGCTGGTCTATTTTGTGGGAATTGGCTGGACACCCATAAGAACGTCATCTCTTTCACAGCGTTGAGCTGATCGAAGATCAGTGTCTTAATATTCACATTGCCTCTTGGGTCTAAAATAAACAGGGATGTTATGGCACCTTAAAGACTCACCAAATATTATTCCGGTGTAATCTTGTAGGACTACTAGGGGGTGGTCCGTCAGACGCATATCTTTATTGATTATTTATTTACAAAATTTGTACCCTGCCTCTCTGCCCTTACAAGGGCCGCGAAGGCAGCAAACAATTTAAAACATATATGATCAAATCACGTCTGAAACCCATTAAAATCCCACACACAAACACACACATGTTCTAGTAAAACAATTAAAAGACTGGGTTAAAATACATCCCAGACATAAAAACAGCAATTAAAACTGTTAAGTCGGCCACTTAACAAACGAGTCAGAGAGTGATTCAGCAAAGATCAGCTTTTTTCAGCAACTCGTAACTCCAACTCCAACACAGATCAACTCGGATAGCCAGAACAGCTTTTGCATTGAAGCTGTTCCATTTTTAAACTCTCCCGGCGAATGTAGCCACACCTACTATACAATACCAACCAATAAGATTGTATACATAAAGTCCAATCACAGACGTTCCCGCTCAGGGAGCTTGATGGCACGTGATTGGTAGGTTCTTCCTGGGCTACCAATAGGATTGGAGGGATTAGGATCCTAGCCCAGGATGAAGCTTAACATAGCACTTCAATGAGGTGGTTCACATACAGTTATGTATTCCATTGCCAGCTACTGAATATATCACAAAAACATTGGTTAGGAAGGAGGGATCATCGAGGGAATGCCAAACGTGACAAAAATGTTTATACCCACTGGCAGAAGACGGCTACAGAAAGGGACAGAGGCATGTCCCTGGGGAGAAAATGTCAAAGTTTGGTGCCATGACTAATGTTCCTTCAAAGCTGTGGAGTCTTGAGAGGAACAACTCTACTTTGTGAGCTACTGGCATTAAATCTGTGAGCGAGCGATTTGGATACAAAAATGTGTGAGCCGGAGGCTAAAAAACTGTGAGCTAGCTCACACTAACTCAGCTTAGAGGGAACACTGGTGGCCACCCTAGTTGTGGCCCACTACCGGGGTTGCAATCTGCCTCACCTCAGAAGGTTGGGGGCACCCGATGCGGAGCCTCCCGAGATGACCGAAGTGGTCAGGCAGGTTAATAAGGGAGTCAGCAGTCCTTCTGGTATAAAGGAAATACTACTTTACATAGCGAGTGATTCAGATGTGGACCTCACTTCCAGAGGATGTAGTATTCAGAAGCATAACCAAGAAGCATAGGCCGGATTGTTTGGGAGTAAATCCTTCTCAGTCATGAGTTGTAAAATATGCTTCTGGTGTCACCTAAGAAAGAGCCACAAAACAACTGTTCATAAAACCCAAAAATCATTGAGATGCTTCCAAATTACCCCTATTTTACTGACAGCTGTAACTAAACATTTAAAGAAACACACCAAAAATGGAATCATTACAGCCTCGGTCTCTATGCCCTGTCCAGAGGAACTGATCGGCCACTGTGTGTGACTAGATGGACTATTGGTCTGATCCAGCAGGGCTCTTCTTATGTTCTTATGAAGGCCTTGGCCTCCATGCCTTGTTGTTGGCCCTCCAGAGGAACTGGTTGGCCACTGTGTGAGACAGGAGGCTGGACTGGATGGACCCTCACTGGTCTGATCCAGCAGGGCTCTTCTGATGTCCTTATGAAGGCCTCGGCCTCTATGTCCTGTTGTAGGCCCTCCAGAGGAACTGGTTGGCCACTGTGTGAGACAGGATGCTGGACTAGATGGACTATTGGTCTGATCCAGTAGGGCTCTTCTTCTGATGTTCTTATGTATGTTGGTCCCAAACTGTGTAGGCCTTTGATTACCGTATAGTGGGTCTTCCCTAGGCACGTATTTGTATATGGGGTTCTGAACAATACAATTGTAAACTTCAGAGGCAAAGGGTTACAAAATGCAAAAAATGTACAGGAAAAGATTACAGAACCCATATAACATTAGCAGTAATGGCCAATTTGGCTTTGTTTGGCTAAGCTGGTAAACTCTTTATCTCAAAGTTCCTTACATTTTTCTCATGGAATTTTTACAGGCCTTTATGAGTTCCTTAAGTTCTATTTCATTACTGGCAACTAGGGTTGCCAACTTTGGGTTGGAAAATTCCTGGAGATCTTGGAGGTGGAGCCTGGAGAGTGTCAGACTTCCCACAGCATCAACGAAGTACACACTTGTAGAAAGGTTTTACTTTATTTGAAGCTATAGGTGCATGGACACAAACACTGCTCAGAATGAGGGCAATTCAAAGAGCATGGCATGTTATAGTACATTCAAACTACTGAGGCCCAATTGCGGGGGTTCCCGCGCGCGCCATCGGGCCCTGGGAGCAAACGCTTCTAGGCAGCATATGTTATCTCTTTCTCACAGTGTTTCATGAGAGCCTCCATCAACTAACAAGCAGCGGCAACCACCTGTGGCCTTGAGAGATACAGACTTTTGGCAGGCTAAGCAATTATGCGCATCAACAGTTATACATGTGAAAGTGAAAGCAAACAAGCGCACACAGAAAGAATAAAACAAAACATTGGCAGCTTGCTGACAGAGAGGGCAGAGTTTGAGGAAGGGTATGACAGCAGGATATGACACCATAGAGGCCAACTTCCAAACCAGCCGTTTTCTCCAGGGGATCTGACCTTTGTTGGCTAGAGACCGGTTCTAATTCCAGGAAATCTCCAGCCGCTGCCTGAAGGCTGTCAACTAGGGTTACCAAGTACTTACCACGATTCGGCGGGGGACACATGATCCCCGGCTGGAACATTCCTCCCTGTAACGCACCATGCCGTCGCCAGGAAGTGACGCTGGGCGACGCTCTGACAATGGGGCTGAAAACTCGATGGTACCATCACGTTTCCAGCCCCAATGCCAGAGCATCGCCCGGTGTCACTTCCTGGCAATGGCATGGTGCGGCACATCTGTTGTCCGCGCGGGAATGGTCCTGGGAAGAAGTATGCGTCCCCCGCCGAATCATGGTAAGTACTTGGTAAACCTGCCGTCAACCCTACTCGCAACTGGATGTTCAGCGCTGCTAGCAAGCAGTTCTGTAGCCAAACAATCAGGGAGAGCCAGTCTATACACA